AAAATGGATAGTAACGTCCCTAAAGTTTGAAAAGATATTAGTAACCTCACATTTGAGCTGTTTGATGACGGAAAATGCTAACTGAAGACATCAAAAGTCACTTTTGCCCTTGAAGTGACATTGGCTTCGTTTGGTTGCATTTTGGGAATACTACTTTTAGTATTCCCAAAAAGTTAAACAGTAAAATACCTAAAAACTCTGGTTTTTGGGAATACTACTCTCAATATTATTCAACTTTTTTTAAACCCTCTAAATTTGTTAATTTAATTAAATACCCCTAAATATTTTTTTAAAAATTGTGAAAACACCCTAGCAATCCACATTTACCAGATTCCGGCTACCACCGCTGGAAAATGGCTGGAATCTGGTAGGATGGGATCTAGCCTTTTTTGGCTAAATCCACGGTGGATCTAGTCGAAAAAGGCCAGATGTTGGCTGTCGTTGATGAGCAAATACGGCCAGATCTGGTCGTCAATGACTAGATCTAGCCGTAAATCTGGCCTTTGCCACACAGATCCACCGTGGATCTAACCGAAAAAGGTCATATCGGTGCACGACCGGCAAGATCCAGCCGGTTATGCGCCTATACGGCGAATCCGGCCACCCTCCGACGGTGGTGGCCGGCTGTCCGTATTTGAGGGTGGGTTGGGGGTGTTTTTATTAACTTTTAATGTTTTATTATAGGGGGTGTTTTATAAAAAAATAAACATAGGGGGTATTTTAGTAATTTATAAATCTTACATCGTAATACCCGCCCAATTCAACTTTTTTTAACTTTTTTCAAAAAACTTCTCCCAAAAACACAAAATTGTGAACCAAACAGAGCCATTATCTTTAGTTGTTCGATGATATTTCATGTCTTTCTATGCATCTGTATCTATATTTATAGAGTGCTTATTAATTAGATTGAAAATATACAACATTAATTTTAAACATTCCAAACAAAAAAATCCTTCGATAAAAATTATTTTAAATTAAAATATTCATATAAGAAATATAGACCACCATCAAGATGTCATTTGATGGAGAAACATATAAACATATACTATTTAATAGATTAGTGAATTGCGAGTGATGTTGCAAAGAAACTTAACTCTTTGTTGTGAAACGAAACTATTCAATGTCTCAATGTATTTGAATGTTCCAAGAGTGTCTATGACCTCTTTGTTCATTGATCTTTGTCAAAATTTCACTAGAAGAAAATCATGACAACACAAAGCCTAAGTTATGAATTGGACAATAGAGGTGCAAACGAGCTGAGCCGAGTAGTATTGCACTCGAGCTTGGCTCGTGATGAAAAATCTGAGCTGGAGGAGCTTCAGATCACAAGCTTGAGCTCGAGAAAGAAATGCCTAGCTCGAGCTTGAGCTTGGATTCACACTTGCACCCTCCACCATTTTCTTTCAATTGGCGGCATGTGCAAGGTCGCTGCTGTGGCCTAGAGAGGTTGTACGCCACAACAGCCTATCAAGCCAATCACCTTGCAGGGATAAGGAGCAGCTTCAACACCACCACTTTCCAATAAATGTATAAGCATATGTGAGTCAACCAAGTTGTTGTCATCAACTTCCCAAACCCATGGCAGCCCCTTCTCCGGGCTCCAACAACAGAGCCACCAAATCTACTCACCCACATCCACCAAATACCCATCCAAACCATGACAACCAATAAGGAATTAAAAACTCAGTAAATAAAAAAACTAACTTTTTTCCTCCATCACACGTCGCCCCTCACGGCATCAAACCACTACCCCCTCCCATCCTAGCAACTCAAACACAACCAAAGAACAGAAATTGACGTATTTGTTTGCCCCTTAACCAAAATAAATAAATAAAAATCCATGATATCTCTTCTCTTAGGTGTAGATGTTGCATGAAGGGCGACTACTGTATTTTGTCCAAGTATGAAACATGGAATTAAGTTTTGTGATGTTAGGTTTTTTTTTTTTTTTTTTTTCTTTTCATTTACTGTAGTACCCTCACAATTTTGGTCTAATTTCGCGAGTAGATGCAAGCTTGTGACTTGCCAGAGCTCGTAAGCTCGCAAGCTTGAGAGCCGAGCTCTAATGTGCTCGAAGCTCGGCTCATAATGTATACAAACTACTGGAGCTTGATGAAATTGAGCTGAGCGGCAAACTACTGGTGAGCGGCTCAGCTCGTTTGCAGTCCTTTGGATGAAAATTATAACACCAAGTCAATAGTAGTGTCATTTGACAATGTTTTTTTTTGTATTTTTTATCTATTTTTTTTTTCAAATATCAATTAAAAAAATAACTTCCTTGCCCTCTAGACCATTAACGTTTACCATTTGTTAACTGACTACACCTTTTCAATCCTTAGGGGAAGTTGGCGAAAATTTAAGGAAGATGCGGTATTAGATTTTTCTTGAAATCGTAGGGAGGTTGAGGATAATTACCCTAATTTAATCATTAAGCTCTATGATTATTAGTTATCTATCAGTTAGCTATATAGTTGTTGACGGCAAATGTAAGTGTCATAATAGCACTCTCATCGGTCTTAATAATAACTTTCATTGAGTTATTTCCATCATACTATTTAAGGAAAACAGTAACTATAAAGTCAATAATATTTTTATGATTTTAATTCAAACATTAATTTAGCCGGAAGAAGACTTATCAATCATTTATTAATTGACCTAAAACTTTAGTTGATGTATGCAAATATTTTTCACAGAATCATAGTGTAAGAAAATTATTTGAAATTTTATTTTTATAAAAAAAAAAAAAAAAAAGCCTTTCTTACTCAAACATGTATATTTGATTATATCATTTTGGAGAGCAACAAATATAAGACTACTTAACAAGAGTTGAATTATTTCAAAAAAAAATTATTTCAATATCATAAGATGAAACGTTATATCTTGTTCGATTCTTAACTTATTTGTAGTTTAAAATTGATTGAATAGTCTAATTAAATGAATAAAGACTAATGTTGATTATGTAATATAACAATATTTTTAACAAGAGTTAAAATACTTCTGTTGATTGTAATAATATTACAAGACCTGAAACTATAGAGTAAACAAAAAGAAAAAAACCTTAAAGTTATAATATTAACAGAAAAATACACGATCATTCTCAAAGATCTTTAGAATGAATTGCGGATGGAAAGAGACAAACCACATATATGAGTACCAAGTTATGTAACATTGTCTTGTTTTCAAGAGATCTATAATATTTTATTTTATATTATTTTAATATAGTTTATGTCAAAAGTGGCTCAGATGCTTATCAGACATAAAGTTTGCAATTAATTGATATATTATTTTATGTCGATTTTACCTAAAGGTCGAGGTAAGAGTAGTCAGTTGAGTGTTGAAATTGAATAACTTAAAAAATTAACTTTACATTAAAATATTAATTTCAATTTTGTTTATAGTTACTTTTAGTAAATCATACCTTTATATAATTTCCTAGCTAGGTAGCAATTATTTTATTTAGTTACTGTTATTTTCTCATTTTAACAAGCTTAATTTAACCACCTTTTATCCTTTATACTGTTTACTTCTTCAACACTTTTTACTGTATTTGAGCTTTTTATTAAAAAAATAATATTAACAAATAATTAATTAATTCTCATTTTAACATTAATTGTGAACATAGCCCTTAATCGTACTCTTAATAGAGTAGTTAGACATAATTCTCCATAAGCCGCTGGGGCAGCACCCACCAAAACCTATGAGAAAGAGAACGTTTGTAATTAATTAATTAATTAATTACACTGGTGTTTCACACACAAATTCAAATGTGATTCAATATACGTAATAATTATTCGATATGACATCTTAAAAAACGAACTATTTTTTTCTACGAGCGGCTATGGATGGTGTTATTTTACCAAAAAAACAAAATCAATTTTAGTTTGATATCATATTTTATTAATATGGTTAGGATTTCTTATGTTACATTTAGTTCATTATTATAGATCCAAACATTTTGATAGTCAGGTTGTTGGAATCCCACATCGAAACATTTTGGATAGTCAAGGTTGTTGGAATTCCACATCGACTAGACACGTTCAAGCTTATTGGGTTATAAGAGGGGATAATCATCACATTCAACAAGGCTTATTGGGTGGAGTCAAACACCCACCTTAAATTCTATCATGGTATCATAGCCCAATTTCAATTGAGCTAAGTGCTTGACCAGCAGGTGAGGATTAGAGCCAACAACTACCTCCAATAATAGGCATGGCCCAACATATGGCTTGACCGTAAGAGGAGTGTGAGTCCCACATCGACTAGACGCTCAAGCCTTTGGTTTAAAGAGGCATAATCATCCCATTCAACAAGGTCTTATTGGTTGAGGAGTTAGACCCACCTCAAATTCTATCAAGGTTTTATTTATATATACCATTTTAATTTAATCACAATTTTCTAGAGTTTTTTAATCCAATTTTAATAACAACGTAAACATTTGTGTAAAATATAATGTCATAAATAACACTATTATATAGAAAAAAAATCATAGAAGAGGTATCTTTTGTTACAAGGATACTATTCAATTGAATGAATATAAAGAAAAAATCTAAAATATCAAAGAAAGACTACATGAGTAGTATCATATATTAATACGTTTAATACCTCATAGTGAATTTTTTTTTTTCTCTTTTTATCTTTTTCATAATTGATATGATTACAATTGCTAAATTTAATTCTTATATGATACATATTGGTTTATATATGATACCGCTAATATGAGATATCATCAATAAATATATTTTTTTTTTTAAGTTACAAGGTATTTCTTTTTATAACTTAAAGTGAAAAAGAAGAAATTATAATACAAAAATAGGTCTTAACTAAGTATAAACAAAAACGGATCTACTCCAGAAAAAAAAGGTCCAATATAGACAAAGAAGAATTAATATAATAAAAAGAAAGAGTTAATTAAATATAATAAAAACCACCAAACTCAAGTAAATTCATATTGGAAAGAGCCCAATTACATATGTGGAAAGAATCAAAATATTTCTTATTATTATTTACTTAGTGCCACCTACTAAACAATTCACTCCTTACACTTGTACCAAAAAGTTTGAGAAAGTATGGAGGATAAACCGAATAGTTATACATTCTTCTCCCATTTTCTTTTTTTTTTTTTTTTTTTTTTTTTTTTTTTTTTTTTTTTTTTTTTGAATTTTAAATTTCCTCCTTCACACATGTCCAAAGCAAGAATCGGATGCATGAGAACCTCATCCACTAGACTGTAATCTGAGCATGTCGCTACAAAAATTTCATCACATGCCACCAAAAACAGGAGATAAACTCAAACCGATCCATTCATAAAACCCTCTTTCACCCAAACCCTATTTTTCCTCTTTTAGACCCTCTCTTTTTATGCTTAATTTCCTATAAATTCAACATTTCTTCTTCGATCTCACTCCTGATTTTGATATCTTATTCTCAAATCTCCAAACCCTTTTGACAAATATTTCTCCTCACAATTCCTCCATCTTCAACTTCTAGTTTATCCTCACCATATAATTGTTCGATTACTGCATTTTTAACAAGCATAAAACGGTGGATCGAAGGCATGGAAAGCGCCCACTTCCACCGGAAGCATCAGAGGATAAAGAGAAACAAGAGCTCGAAGAGCATCATCAGTTTCCTTCTTATGAATCTTCTTGGTCAGAAACTGATATGTCAGCCATGGTTTCTGCTCTAACTCAAGTGATTGGCACCGGCGACGACCAGTCAAACATGATGCAGTCGAACCCTCCATCAGCTTCTTCAGATTTACCTCTTGTCAAAGACGAGCCTGACCCACCTCAACCAGCTCAAGATCAAGGTATTTTATACAACTCTCACTATTTTCTATATAATTACACTCTTATCTTTCACTAGCATTGATAAATATATGCACGTGCTAACACTGTTAATGAAATTCAGAATTTAATTTGACAGACATATATATAGATAATGCATGAATTTCAGAAATTACATAGGCCTAAAATGTCAAAGTTGTTTGTAATGGTTATGGGATGAGTGTAGTCAAAGTTGGCTCGTGATCTATCTCCATGAAAGGGTTTCTTTATATTTGTTTTCATTGAAAGAATTATGAGGATGAGTGTAGTCAAAGTTGTTTAAATGTTTAGGTTGAGATTCAATTGAAGACTAGAGAGTCAAATGTCCAGATGACAATAGCCAAGTTCAATGTATTGTAATTAAGTTTGCGTAAAGAACCATCTCTCTCTAAAGTGTAAATGTTCGTACCATTTCTAGGCACGATATCTCTATCCATTTTAATCTTTTTGCAAGATAACACGTATTTTTATTTTTTATTTTTTATTTTTTTATATATGTTCACATTGTAATCGTTTTTCATGTTTTCTAATTTGTTTGGTATCAAATTATCAATCTTTTTCTGGAACATTTCTTCTGCTATACTTTTCTACCATTTCAATCATCCCATTTTTGGCATTCAAATCTTATCTTCCTATTTCCAATCCAATCAAGTTTCTTAGAAATTTTGAACCTCATCTTACGTTTGCCTTCTACAACTTTAAAATTTCAACCCATATCATTAATTTTGCTTAACACGCCTTAGGATTTATGTATCACATTATCATTATCCTCCCTAATTGAATTCATATGCTATATCATAGTATTTGTTTGGTCGATAAATTAGAAATAACGGAATACATCGTAAGATTTTATTGGATGAGTGCGTCGTTTCTACTTTAGAAATTTTTTTTTTTTTATTTCTTTGATAGTTTTGAAAATAATAATAAGTTTACATCTGATAGAGTTTTATTAGATTTAGAAATTGAGTAATATTGATGTGGGGTATGGATGTCTCATTTGAATTAACTCTCTAATTCCTGCTTGCATGCTGAAAAAGAAGAAAGAAAAATAGAATGTATCTTCAATGACCAAAAGGAAAGTTTAAACATTTAACACCTTATAACATAACTTGCTTTGGGGCGTCACTTACTTTTAGTTTAATTTTTTTTAGCCAAATGGCCCCAGAAATAAAGGAAAGTGTTGCCGAAAGTTGTTTCTGGAACTTAAAATTAATTACTTCTCATAGCATGTCAAGTAAATCTAGGGCCACTGATGTCCCACTAAAACCACTTCCTTGTGCATGGCAAACAATTAAGATTGCTAACTTTTGCATGAAATAACAATTTTGCTATTTCATACTCATACATTAACCATTTCTTAATTCATTATCATATCATATATCATTTTTCATAGAATTTAAATACAATTGTTGTTTCACAAAGTAAGGCATACATACAATAAATCTTATGTGTTTGTATGAATTATGTTGAAATGTTTTCTAAAGTAGTTTAAGATATAATTAGAAATTCCACTATAAAATTACAAAATGAAAACAAAGTTAATTTTCTAAGTTTTCTGTAAGATTAGTCCTGAAAACATTATTTGAATATCATATTGAACACATTTTTAGATATATATTAAAAATATTAAGTTACATCTTAGTTTTCTGAAAGTTATATTTGGATCACAAATAAACCACACTTATAATGTATTTATTTGTTCATTATATGTGCTATTTATTATTGTTTCTCTTTTTTATCTCCTATAAATGTATTTATTTTGTGAAGGAACAACAAGGAGGAGACATTACAGAGGGGTTAGACAAAGACCTTGGGGCAAATGGGCAGCTGAAATTCGAGATCCTAAAAAGGCAGCTCGAGTGTGGCTTGGCACATTCGAGACTGCTGAGGATGCAGCCATGGCATATGATAAAGCTGCCCTTAAATTTAAAGGCACCAAGGCTAAACTTAATTTCCCTGAAAGAGTTCAAGGAATGCCTGAATTTTTCTATTTAATGGGTGGAGATTCTTCTTCAAAATCAAAGCCCTTTAATGACCAAAATGTAAGGCCTCCAGTGGTTAATAATCCCCCTCCTCCTCCAATTCACCATGAAGCTTATCCCGACTTGCTTCAATATGCTCAAATTCTTTCAAGTGATGATTCTAGTTTTAATTATTACACTTCAAGTCTCTTTAATCAAGAAGCTTTCTCTCCACATTCTTCTTCAACCTTATCGTCATCCACCAGCTCATCATATCACCAGCAGCAAAACCAACAGGACCTTATGAGATTTTCATCAAACTTAGAAGATTTTCATGATCATGGGAAGGATTTTGATGACTCAAATGGGTAGTACCACGTTATCTACACGTCTATTTAATAAAATCATCGTCATTTATACATTTATTTTTTTTCCTCTTATCCCTGCCTGACTATTACCGTTGGGGATAGTTTTAAAATGAATGTATATGTGATAAGATTGTATTAAATAGATATACATATCTGTGTCTAAATGAATAGCGTCGACGTCTTTTTCGATTATTCCTTTCAAGAACATTATCATCAAGTGTATCTTTGCATTCAAGTTTCAAGAACGAGTTGCAGCAGAATCGACCACAACAAAATGATCGAGAACTTTCCAAGTATTTTTATAACAAATTTGGGAAGCAGCGTGATTAGCTAGTTCTGCTTTTTTGGTGCATGCCTAGGCGAAATATATATTTGTAGCAATTGGCCGAAGGAGCATCTTCTAGTTTGCGACTTTGTGTAACGAGAGGTGTAAACTCTAAATGAGTAAGAGATTTGAGTTTCTTTCTTTGTATTTTCTTCTGCAAAATCTAATGTTTCTTGTCATCTTATGAATTAATTATATGATATTATGTGTGTCTGGACCTATTTTTAAAGAAGTGAAGTAAAATATATTAATATACTTCTATTTTGTCATTCAATTACAATTTACGAGAAAATAGTGGTCCTACTCAATTAGACTTGCTGTCCATGTAATTTCTTAACAAAGAAAAATAATAGGGTCATGCTATCATACCATGTCAGTAACGTTACAATTCGATGCAGCCAGATCCAATTGTCATTTAAAGGAATATATATACATATTGGGACAAGCAGTTTTTTTTTTTTTTTTTGGTATGCCTGTGGGAATCTTTGGCATTTTCAACTTCATATTTGTATTATGACGCTGAGTACAACATCTTTATTATCTATTTCACATGTTAATTAATCTAGTTGGTGTATTCTTGGACTCTCTATTTGGTGGTATGTATGGTTCTTGGTAACCTCTAGTTTGATTAGGAAAACCACAAAAAAAAAAAAAAAAGAAAAAAAAAAAATCCGTCGATGAGAGTTATAGATTCGATTAAAAAGGAGGAAACTTATAATATTAAAAATGTTCATGGTTATTTTGGCTAATTGATCTTCTAATATGTTAGTTTCTAATAGAAAGATTTACTTAAAATTGTATTACTAGAAAGATTAAAAGACATATTACAATCTAACAAATGGCTGTTAAGTTGTTTAGAACTAAGACTTCATAATACATAATCTAATGGGGATGGAGGATTTTCAATAAAATTTCAACTTAATTAATTGTTATAAAGTTGTAAGTGGAGACAAGCATGCATAACGATATGCTTTTATTGGATTAATGCAAAGTTAGAGACTAACTTTCTTTAATTTTATCCTTCAATTTCGAATAATTCTCAAGTGAGACAACTTGTGTTACATAATTTTATTAGATTGATGTACTAATTGACATCAACTTTCTCTACTTTTGCAAGCTTACTACTCTATATATGCTTGCTTTATTTCATTAATTAGGAATATGCTACATTCATTGTAACTTGAACTTTTTCTATCATCTTTCATGTACTAAACGTATATATATATATAATTTATCAACTCTTTGATTAGATAATTAGTGGCTTTTTGAGATTCTTTCTTCAATTATTTATATATATCTAATTTCAAAAGGCAGTAGCCTAACTTTGGTTGAAACCATTAGAAAAATGGCACAAAGTCATCGTTTCAACTCAAACTTTGAGCCAAAACAAGAGGTCTTCTCAACCAATCTTCTCTTAGCTCTCAACATCAAAAGCACAGTAGATTCCACTTTTAAGTGTCTAAATAAGCAAGTTGTGAGTTCTAAAGATCATCATGGGTGCACATGTACACACTACATTTCATTTATAATTTATTGTAAGATTTGTCTCTCTTCAAAGCTGTCGAATTTTTATTTTTCTTTTTTGTCTACCTTCGTCTTCCACCACTCGTGAAGCTGATATCATGGCTTTAGAAAAATTTTATATAGCCAAAATTGGCTTATTTATATATTCAATTAAAGAAAACAATAATAATCCTCTCATGTATATGATCTAGATGTGAAACCCCTGTTATTAGTAAAAGCCATTACAATGAAGAGAAAAATCTAATTAACCCCCTTTATTTCTTGATCTATTATTATCATCCCTTTTAATTAAATATTCATAAAACCCTCTAAATCGTTACTTTTAGCTCTATTAAGTTACCACTTTTAATAAAAGGACTGATTTTCCTTAATTAGATAATGTCATATTATCTATTTATTTATTTATTTATATTTACTAATAAATTAAGATATCAAAATATTTAATTGTTGATTTGAAGTCATATTTAAATATTAAAAATTACATTAAAATTAATAACATTCTTCTCTTTCAACCACTCATATTTATTAACGTCTCATATTATTTTCTCATTATACTGTAATTACACAATACTTATACATTTATTTCTCATTAAGTAACCTTAATTATAGTAAAGACATTTGGCTTCGCACTCATTCTCTCTACTCTAATTTCTTATTAATTAATTGTTTCTACATTCCCATAACATAACCGTTCTCTTATGTGACATAATCATCATATGAAAACCTGGGTCTCAAATATGGTCGAATGAAATATCAATTCAGTTGTTATATCAAAAGTTGCCTCACCTCACCTCAAAGAAGTTATAAAAGGAATATTTGATGTGGCGTCGATAACCCCTTTTCAATCAAATCTATCTCTATTCATAAATCACATTTCCAATTGAGAGAGCTCTTGGATGCCATATTATATATTCTATTATATCATTACATTTTGATCCACTCCCCACTAAAAGAGATGAAGAATAAAAAGAGTGTCCAAATCTGTTCACATATATCCCATAATGGTAACTTTCTAAAATGCCCTAAAACAAATCATAATGTCATAGATTTTTCTAACAACATGAAATTTACCAAATGAAGAATCCTAAGAGCACTTTTTGGGGCACGAAGCTATTAGTGTAATATATGGCACAAAATTTGGGGTAACTTTAAATCTGATTTGATGCCTTGAGCACGACCCTTTTGTATATTATTTTAAATAATGCTACATATTTTAAGAAATATCCTAAAAATACTATTAAATTACCACTTAATAAAAGAAATTTAAAACACTTCTTCAACTTATGGTAACATGTTAACTTAATAAAGTCTTTATCTTATTAATTGCAGTATTCTTCAAGCATCCATGAATAGAACTTACATACAAGCAAACTTTAATGTTATATACTTAGATTAGAGTTCATCAAATAATTATATTATTCTTGAGTGACGTAACCAATCATGGTGCCATAATAGAACAAATCTCATGAAAATAAATCAATAGAGATCGATTAAGTTCTTGAAAACTTTATATTTTGGTGGGTCTTATTTTATTTTGTGGTTGATTTGTGGGATCGTGATAAAACTTTTGGTAACACGCATGCACAAGCTACAGAAAGACCTTTTCCCACTTGCTTAGAAAGTAAACTCAACAAGGCGAAATCTCCAAAATCCATAAAATAAAAGAAAGTTCAAAACAAGCAAAAGCCAAGTCAAGTTAAAGAACTAATGGTTTGTCTGGAAGGAGTGTTTCATGGTATTTATATATTTGTGATGTTTATTTTATTTATCTTTCTGAGATGGATTAATATTAAATATACTTACACTTATCACAAAAGGGTTTGATTATGATAACTTAAATATTTTTACTTAAATTAAAATACAAATTCATGACCATAAATATGTTGAAACTTGAAATATAACGAATATAGGAAAAAAAGAAAAATTGAAAGTAGTTATTTTCTCTGCCACCTCAACATGTTTAGAACATTAGGTTGTAAGGATTAACCGCTGAAAATTTGTGCAAAAATATAAGATGAGGTAGCCTAATCCATCACAATATTATACATCTGTAAAATTATTAAATATCCTAAGAATAATATAAATGTATATAGGGACTAAGATACCAGACATTTAACTCTAATATGATATGAAGTAAACATTTAATTTAAAATATTATTTATATTTAAAACTATTATCTATTTAATCTATATAAAATTTATTTATTATAAACAGTTTTTTTAGAAAAGTTTTTTATAAATAATTAAAATTATCTATTTATTGATAAAAATAAAACTTGTATCTTTTCTTTAATTTTAAAAATAAAATTCTTCTAAATTCAAAAAAACTCTTCCTGAAATAGTAAATCTACTTTTAAAATTTAGACAAAAAGTATAATATATATATTGCACCGAAAACTTTCTCGACAAACAAGCGATTCGAGAAGCAAAAGGATCTTTATCTTTATCTTTTTTGTTTTTTTTTTTCTTTTGAAGCTTACAAGTAACGTAAGCCGCGTGAAGACTGACATGGAGCACGATGTTCAATGAAGAGAGCATGCATGAACATGAAATAGTGAAAGAGACATACATAATAGAGTGCTTGATTTTGGGACCATTTTTTTAATGTGATTTATGACCTTAATTTTGGACTCTTTTGGTTTCTCTAATTTTATGTCAAATTTTGCGGCTATAAGGCTGCCTTTTCTTAATAATACCCTCAAGTACAATTATGACATTACCCAACTTGAATTTGATTTTACTTCTCCGGAGAGTGATGTGATGCTAGAGTCAGAGAGACTTGACTTCTACAATACCAATATTTCTCTAAAAAAATTTAAAAATATTTCTGCATTTATAAAAATGTGGAAGTTAAAAGTACGAAAAGGGTATTTAAATTTGAGGAAGGAAGAATGATAAGGAATTAAGAATGGATTGTGGCGCATGCTGATGCTGGTGAAAGTTGGGCACTTGAGGTACGTGGTTAGTAATGATTTAATTTAATGATTGAAAGAAGCACACACGGCCTTTCTCCACCGTCTAGAGTTGCATGCTATCAAACACTACAATTTTTAATCATTATAACAATACATTCTCTTTGTTTCTTCTCCCGCTTTTTAAGTTTAAAAGAATTGTGGGTTCGGATTGGCTATACCAAGCTTGTGGGTACGTAGGTACAACATTGCTTTATCACTAATTTGAACATACATTACAAACTTAATTTGATAAAATGTATACTAGGTTTAATGAGAAAAACTTAATATTATTAGAATCATTTTTTCTAAGCCTAAACTTAATTAGGAATTTAATTAATTAGAGGAATCATATAACTACTGTTTATAAAATAGACTCAAACCGCATATGGGTCTAGGGGCGTCACCCCCTCAACCCTAAAATATGTTTGTCTCGCTTTTTGTTGTTGAAATAGTTGACAACTTCAACATAAAACACATTTGTTTTTTTTTTTTCCCTGTAATACTTACCAATAGTTTTTTGTTTCTAGCTCAAAATTATTTAACAATTGCTAAACTAAAGTATGTAAAAAGTGAAGTCATATTTTTCTTTATAAAATGTGAAAGCATGCTTATAAAGCATGTTATTCTCTTATTTTATAGCATTTTCTTCATAGTGCTAATTTAATTAGTTTCTAGATGACAATGATGTATACTTAACAAGATTAAAGTATGACTTAATGACTTACCAAAATGTCTG